CATTCTACTTCCCTGTAAGCTAACCACCCTCCCCTCCCCCCTTCGAGCACCGCTTGCAGAGGCAATAAAGTCATTGTTACGTCACATTCATGCATTCTTTATTAATTCATCACACAACTAGGGGGATAACTGCCAGGGTAGCCCGGGATGGGTGGGGGAGGAGGGAAGCACCGAGTGGGGTGGGGGAAGGACAAGGACACACAGCAGTTTAAAACTTTAACTCTTATTGAAGGCCAGCCTTCTGATGCTTGGGCAATCATCTGGGGTAGAGTGGCTGGGCGTTCTTGGGCGTCTGGGTGAGGAGGCTATGGAACTTGGAGGAGGGCTGTTAGGTTACACAGGGGCTGTAGTGGCGGTCTCTGCTCCTGCTGCCTTTCCTGCAGCTCAACCATACGCTGGAGCATATCAGTTTGATGCTCCAGCAGCTGGAGCATCAACTCTTGCCTTCTGTCAGCAAGCTGACGCCACCTATCCTCTTCAGCCCGCCACCTCTCCTCTCGTTCATATTGTGCTTTTTTTGCACTCTGACATTGACTGCCTCCACGCATTCTGCTGTGCTCTGTCAGTGTGGGAGGACATCTGGAGCTCCGAGAACATATCATCCCGAGTCTGCTGTTTTCTCCTTCTAATCTTCACTAGCCTCTGTGAAGGAGAAACATTTGCAGCTGGTGGAGGAGAAGGGAGAGGTGGTTAGAAAAGACACATTTTAGAGAACAATGGGTACACTCTTTCACGTTAAATTTTGCTGTTCACATTACACAGCACATGTGCTTTCGTTACAAGGTCGCATTTTTCCTCTTATATTGAGGGCCTGCATCCCACAGTGAGAAACAGGTTGAGAACCACTGGTATTGATATTGCTGGTGAAATGTTTCTAATCTTGAGGCATATGCCCTCCATCAGTTGAATCTGCTTATGGATAGCACATCTTGAACTCCAGTTACTGTACACAGGCTTTTCTATGGTGCTTATCACTATTTGTATCTGAATGCATTGTTTCACAAATAACAAACTTTCACAATTCCCCTGTAAGGGGAAGAGGCAGTATTATCTCCATTGTACAAAGCAGGAAATTGAGTCACAGACTAATAGATACTGCTGATCTTAATTTTGGGTGCCTAACTTAAGACACAGAGGGCCTGATTATTTCAGAGTTCTTAACATTATGTAACACTCTATTGGAAGCACAGCTCACATTGACTTCAGTTGTAGCTGTGAGCTCTTAGCATTTCTGAAAAATCAGATCTCAGGGACTCAAGTTGGGCACCAAAAAATAGGAAACGCACAATTAATGACCGCTTCTGAAAAGCTTGCTATAAGGGACTTGCTTGGCATCACATATCCCTGCCTATGTCGTAGAGAATCTGATTCTCCAGGACAGCATTCAACTGCCTTAGCCATAAGACCTTCCTTTCTCTTCCTGTAATCCCCTGCGTAACTGACTCCTCACCTACTAACTTTTGAAAGAAATGAGACTGGGGTCCCATAGATAAGTCTCCTTTACTACAGAACCCTAATTTATCCCCAGAGCAGGTCCATAGTGTGTACTGAACAAGGTAGGGGTCCTGTAGAGAGAATAGTATGTGATCATGTAATTAAAGACTATTATAATGCATGTTCACGGGGGGGGGGGGGGCAAATTAAGCGTATATAGGAAACCTTAATTCTGGCACTTCCTAACTTTTGAGTCCTTGACTTTACTACCTTAATGTTCTTTTACCAGTTTGTACGAATGTAACTTCCTAGCTTAAAAAAACAAAAAACAAACAACCATCTGGTGTCGTCATATGGATAATCACGTGGTCATCAGCCGGTTGGAACCATTAGATCCACTACACAGACTGTTGCTCAAGTGGTAGAGTACCTGATAGTAGTAGTAGATTGTCATCCTTTGTATGGACCAGCACTAGAGGGGGATGACATACTATTCTAGTGGATTTCAGATATTTGCTGACCTAGAATAGAGACACTTTTGTGAATTTTGCGTTTCATCACAGGCTCTTCATCCCATCTTTCCGCTCTACCTCCCCCCCGAATACTTGACTCCTGCCCTACCCCTCCTGTCTGTTCTTGTGTTTTCGGAGTCCTGTTCTCCTTGCTTGCCAGTCTCCACTCTCCAAGAGTCCCATTTTAGTTCCCACCCATCCTCCCTCACTTCTTTGTGCCCAGTCTCCTTGCCCAGCCAATTCTAAATTCCCCCTTTCTGGTTTCTCGTCCAATGTGTTGTGTGCGCACACACCCAGGCTGGATCGCAGTCCTCTTCCCCAGCTGCTCCCAGGATACTGTCAGTTCCCTTGTCCCAGTCTTTCTGCCTAGCCGGTCTCTGTATTCACTCTTCCTCATCTCCTACCCTTCCCAGCTCCTTGTCCAATTTCAGTGTTTCTCTTCATGTCCCCCGTCTCTCCTATCCTTCCTGCCAGTCTCCGTCTCACTAGATTCCTTGTCTCAATCTACTCCTTCCCCTCCCCCTGGTCTGGCTTTCGTCCCGTCTGCATTCAGATCAGATGGTTTCCTCCACACTGCTTGGGTGCCAACAGGGTTGGAGGGCAGGGATGGTGAGTGCCATTGAGTACACAGGAGAGACAGGCTCTATGCTCTCAGTTCCAGTGCCCAGCCCACATCGCCCTGAAACAGCCGTAATGGGGAAAATCCAAATTTGCCCTTGTAGCCTTGGGCTGGGTGGAATATGCTCAGTTGCTCTGTGGTTATGGTGTATTCACAGTCTGGGCAGCCCTAGGAGCTGTGAGGCTTGAGCATGCTCAGTGAGGACTGAATCTTTAGAGACTTTAGCTGCAAACTAACAAGTCTCTACTGACAATGCATAACTGTGATTGCTTTCAAAGGCTTTTAATGTGGACAAACTTGGGCAGATTTTCATGAGGATGGCAAAAGGCACATCTCTGACACAGTCCATCCCTGCCAAATTTCAAGTCCTTCTCCAAATCATAGGACTACAAGAGCAATTCAGAGGAGAGGTCATCAGAATTTAATATGGGGAGAGCAGCGGGAATACATCGTTTTGCCCTTGCCTTGTTCTCGGAAATGGCTGAGCTGTTTGGCTGTAATCTTAAAAGCTTGAGGCAGATATCTAGCCCATAAAACTCCTGCCAAAATGGCGTTTGTCAAAGCTATAAGCGATTGAAAATAGTCTTATGGGAAGTGTTGAGCAACCTTAATAGGTGGTGCTATCAGCCCTGCCTATAATTTGCCAAACTTGCCTACTAGTCCTCCAGTTCCCTGTCAGAGAAATAGCTGTGCCCAAAAAACATGGGTGTAAAGCAAAATTAGTATCCCAAACAAAGAGAAAATGTTGAATAGACTGGATATTGGAGAAATGTATTGTCTTATTAAAGGAATTCTGTTCAGTTAAATCAATGTGACATGTCAGTCTCAAACTGTAATTTCAATGTGTAATCAGAGGAAAGATGGGTCTGAGTTGCAGAACTCTGATCTGATGCTTGAACCATCTCATTATGTTTGTGTTCCAAAAGTTTTTGCTTTGGGACTGTTCATCTTTTAAAATGGTGCCTAAATGATCTGATGTATGCTTTTCTTTTGCATTTAAAAAAAAACAGATCTTTTAAAAGTGTTCCTTCTTCTTACAGCATCTGAAGAATCGGAAAGTGACATCTACATGCGATTCATGAAGTCTAACAAGTGTTATGACATAGTTCCAACAAGTTCTAAGCTTGTTGTTTTTGACACTACGTTACAAGTAAGTGCTTAAAACTACATTTTGTTGCAGTTCAGTTGCCTTTTAAATTACCCATATAGATATCATCCTTGAATGCTGTGTGAAATTGATTTCTCTTTAGAGAAAACTGTTTTTGAGATGCTTTTTGGATCCAAGAACCGGTAATATGTTTTTGAAAGTGTGTACATCTGTATAGGAGGGAACTTCCATATTTTACTTTGAGTCAATAGTTAGCGTAGCCTTCAAATGGACATGGAGCTTTACTGACTTTCCAACAGGGGATAGGTAAATGAAATAGTTATCAAAATATCAATATTCTATGATTATGCAGGAGTATGGATATTATGCAAATTATCAGAATGTTTTGAGCCTTGCCTTTTAAGATTAAATAATCCTCTGAATTAAATAAATGTATAATTCCTTGGAGGTCCTACATTTTACCAGTAAATCATCAGCATATTTCATCTAGTTTAGACTTTCGGTTTTGTGTGCATGAAGAATGCAGTTGCCAAAAGCAGAAAGTACTAGAAGTTCAGTCCATTCTGGAAACATTAAGAATAATTTGTTCTGAAGTTAGGGGTACACAATTTGGTTCTTTCTAGATGCTCTTCAGATTTTGTTGGTTCTATTTTGAGTTATTTTTAAAAGAAGCAGCAAAAAGGAGCTATTAACTTTAGCCTGATTTTAAAAGACTGAGTTGAGATGAGACCTGCTGTGCTCCTAGTGTCCCCTGAAAAGATAAATGATGCAGTGGTAACTGTTTTGGGTTTTTTTTTTTTTTAATTTTAAGAAAATACCTCTTTCAGATTGTAGTATCTTCCTTGCATCAGAATGAATCTACAGGTTGGTTTATTTATTGCTTACTGTAAGTTTAATTGCTCTTTTGTGGCTTTAAAATCGCAATTTCACTTTTTCTTTAAAAAAAAAAATTGATAGTAGAATAGCAAGTATATACCAATCTGTGTTAGCCTCTAGAGGCTATATGTATCAATTTGATTTTACCTAGGGAATTTTGATAGACACAGTGGGAAATACAACAATCTAAAACTTATATTTCTGAGGGCTTGTCTAAACTAAAAAATTAAGTTGACGTACAACCACCACAGTAATTAAAGCAGTAGTTCACATCCACATTTGCTTCTTCTGTCAGTGGTGTGTGTCCTCACCCAGAGTGATTCTACTATCTGAAGTGGGGCACTGGACAGCTGGAGCCTGGCAGCTGGCCCCCTGTTGCCACTGACAGCCTAAGCTTGTCAGCCAAGCACAGGCCCCAGATGTGAGCCTATGCCCGACAGCTGGGATTGTTAGCACCAGGGTTAGGGATGGGGCTCCAGCTATCAGCCCCACTCGGGGATGACAGCCAACAGGCAACGTAGTAACAGTGTCTACGTGGATGCTGTGTCACCCTAACTACATTGACGTAAGGGCTACACCTCTCCTGGAGGTGGAGTTGTCTGTGTGGCTGGGGACTCACTTTGGTGAAAGCAGCATTCAAGTGTAGACACTGACATAATTAGGTACACAGGAGAGACAAGTAAGCCACCTTGTGTTGATCTAACTCTGTAGTGTAGATCTAACTCTGTTGATGTAACCCTGAGCCTACTAATGTTAATGTCTTACTTGGAGTGTTTCAGTAAACCTCCAAGAACATTGTAGTTTCAACACAAATGCCTTAAATTTGTAAGTCTCTTATGTCTGATCACTATCTGTACAGTGACAGGTTTCAGAGTGGTAGCCATGTTAGTCTGTGTGCTGTTGGGGTCCAAGTAATAAATGTTGGTGACAGCCATTTTGCTAAAGAAAAGTAACTTGGTTAATGATGCTAGCAGCATGAAAAGCCCAGTGTGAGAGACTGATTAATCAGTTGTCAAGCCATAGTGAAGTTTATTTGATTGGAAGAAAAACCTGAAGATTTCATAGAAATGAGTAAAAACATTTGTGGTGAGGTTAACAAACAAGTATATTCAGGTAAATAAGTGAATAATTGGAACATAACTTAAAATTTTAATAAAAGTAAAGGAAATAAACAAGTACATCTGTCCGCCTATTTTGAGAGAGTTAATACCTCAGGACCTTAACATCATAAATCAGATCTTACACTTTATTGTTAATTTAAGACCAAACGCTGTGAGGGAGTCAGTGTTTCACAGCTCCCATTGAAGTCAGTGGGATTTGTGCATGCTTGACATCTTTACTGGAGCTGGTTCTTATCGAAAACTGACTTACAATTATTTCTTCGGATTTTTAAAAAGTGGTATCTTGCCAAGCTCCTTGGTGCCTCTTCCATAGATTACCAGAACATATGTCACTCCCAAATATATTTTTGTAACTTGCTTGCAAAATTCACAAGTTCTGTAGTTAAACTGCATAAAAGACATAAGACAGTCTTATCTACCTTACACCAATGTAAATTAGAAGTGATCAATGGAATTATATTGGTCTGTAATAGATAAGGAAGATAAAAATCAGACCTTCATTAATATTTAGTGCTTTATTGTGCTGGTGAGTTACTCTGGAAGAATGTTTTTGAGTAGTTGCTGGATCCTCAATATCCTATCTCCCCCTAGTAATCGGAGATGGCATTATTTTCAGTTAAGGCTAGATTTGAGAATGAATAGATTTCTGATTTGGTGATACAAATCATATCTTTAAGACGATCAGAAAACTGTAGTTGTTTTCATGGTTAACAATAAAATTGGTATACATTACATAGTAGTAAGCCTCACTACAGATTATAATACTTCAAAGGTAGATGGGAAGAAAACTCTTCAATACAAAAGGAGCAAGATTCAGTGAAATATAAAAGTACCCAAATATCCTGGAGGATCTTAAATTACATCTACACACTACATGCCACCACTAGTGATGTATAGTATGTGTAGCTTCATGCCACAGTGAAAATCAGGATGTTTCCATGCTGTGGTGTGTAGCTGTGCATGTCAATGAAATGTTTTTCCCAGAGCGGCAGCAGCAGGGAAAGGCTTCATAAGCTCCCCAGGGCTGGAGCTTTTCACTGCAGTGAGGAAAGTTTCTGGTAGTGGGGAAAAGTGTGGCATGTAAGTACCGCAACTGATAGATGAATTTTCTGCCCTCTTGCACCTGACACTTGCCAGGATTTACATCTCCCCTAGGACAACAGCAGCAGAGTGTGGGAGAACCCTTGGAGCCCCGATGGTTTTATATCCCATGTGGAGCAAGGAATTCCCTGTCTTGGGGAGAGAAGAGGTGGCTGGATGGGTGTGTTTTTTAGATTTTAAAAATTCTGTTAAAAGAACCTTCAGATTACAAAGTCATTAACTAAAAATTTACTAAATGACAGAATTAAGGTTAAGACAGCCTTAACTCAGCCCCCTTGCCACAGAACCCCTGCCTCATTCAGTGTATGACCCTAGGTCTTATTCAGTGCATACCATCCAAACTGTACATGCAAATGTATTAATTACATCTGGGTATGAGAAACATAGGGTTTGTTTTTTGTTTTCCTTCCCGACTCTCTTCCCTCCCCGCTCCTCCCCCCCCAGTACTTATCACTGTTGCGGTAGGTGTTTATTCATTTTTGTTTTTGTTTATATTCAGAGCACAGCTCCCATTGATTTAATTTGCAACTATGAACACTCACCACTTTTGCAAATTCAACATCAGGTGTTTCAAGTTGGGTCCCAAAAAATGAGGAACACACAATTAGTGCCCAATTATGAAAAATTTGGTTTAGATGAATTGCCCAGCATCACACACAAACTCTGTTTCAGAAGCAGGGATAGAATCTAGTTCTCATTCATCTTCCTTAGCCGTGATGCCATCTTTTCCCTTCCTGCAGTCCCCTGGCTCATTCCCACTGCATCCTGTGACTCTGGGCAGAGCTTGCCATTGCTGCTGAAGGAGGCTGTTGCTGAGTTTTTGTTGCTGCTAGGGAGCGGGGAGCATCATGGAGCACTCCCCCACTGCTGCTCCTGCTGACTACCATCTGCTTGCTTGCCTGCCTGCCTGCCTCCACCAGCCTCCCCTGGGATTACTGCAGCAGAGAATCTGTCACAAGCACATGTGGGTGCACATGCACCTTGGACTTTCCCTGCAGAGGGCTGGTAGGCCTCCTCCACCTTCCTCTGCTTGTCAAGTTGGCTCCCTCCTCCCCACCTGGGGGAATTTTACTTCTGGGGGAATTCTGCGCCAAAAAATAAAAAAATTCTGCACATAGTATTTTAAAACTCTGCTTATTTTATTTGTCAAAATAACACAGTATATCATGCAAGTTTCAATTATTTTGGTAACTTATTTCAGAATACCTGTCAGCAAGCATGTCTGTAACAATATAGACAACAAAATAAGATTCAGAAATGGCTTTTTTGACCGATTCTTTACTAGGCTATTCCTGCACCCCTCAGAAGGAGTGCAAAGGCTTAGGGAGAATCAGGGGTAACAGAGAAGCTGAGGGAGAGGGACATAATTGCTGGAAAGGAGCTGGGGAGAGGAGGGTTTGTTAGGGAGCTGGGGAACCTCCCTCATGCATACCCTAGCCGACTCCTGGACTCTCCCATTGAGTCAGGCACATCTCCCCTGTCTCTGTGTAGCCCTGCACCCTACTCCCATTCAGCCCCTGGCTCAATGCTGCCACCTCCCCCCCGAGCTCCTGAGTCCACACCCCAGTCTGTCCTTCCCATGCCTCCTCACCTGGCTCTGCTGTGAGGAACACAGCCTCTCTGCTGGCCGGCTGCCCTCTCTTCTGGCACCACAGCAGCCCTTGGTGGGCAAAAGGTGTAACTGCAGCACCTCTCCAGTAGAATCTATAGTATGTGGAGAAAAATTGGTGTGGCACATAAATTGTGTCCATGTACAGTGGTGCAGAACTCTTCCCCCAAGAGTATGATTTGTTATCTGTTTCCCCGTCCCATCCAGGGCCCTCCCTTCATACTCTGTTACCTGCCCTGTCCAGATGCTTCCCCTGCAATGTTTGGTGGTACACCTACTCAGCCCCAGCCCCGCTTTTGCTGTTTGTTCCCTGTCCTACCCAGCCTTGCTTGCCC